GACAAATAATGACTAGGTGGAAATATAACCACATTCCTACCTTAGTGTAATTCTTCTGGTCAACTCCATAGCCTTTGACATACAAATATCCCATCCCATTATAAGCAGAATACAGTTGGTGCCTGGAAGCAAGCGTCAGCCACTCAAACGCTTTGGTGTAGTTTCTCTCAACACCTGCTCCCCTAGCATAGATCTCTCCAAGAAGCTCCATAGATCGGGGCTCTCCCTTCTCCACAGCCTTCAAAAACCACGACAGCGCCTTGGAATGATCACGCCTCAATCCCCTAAGGCCAAAGTAGTAAAAGAGGCCAACTTTGTACATGGCAACAGCATTCCCCTTCTGGGCTTGATACTCCAGTATCTGAAAGTCCTCATCCTCTTCCCCCTTTGATTTTCTCAGAGCCTCCTTGTTCTCCTCAGCCCCATTGTGGAGCCTAACCGGTTCAATCACAGGAGAATCTTTCGAAATCAGAAAATTATTCACTACCACTTCAGTTAAATCAGTATAAAGATTAATAATTTTGTCAAACATATGTACCAATGGTGATGCAATTTATCACACTATTCACAGAGATCGTAAAGAGAAATGAAGCACGAATCAGAAAGGGGAAAAGAAAGGAAAAAGGAGGAGAAGCCACACTCACGTCTTGACGCGTGTACTTATAAGCCAAAGCCATCTTGGACTGCATGTTGCCGCCCTCGGCGGCGAAGTGGTGCTACAAAAACGCCTTCCCCTTACTTCGCTCTCTCAAAAGCCCCATTTCCCACAAAAACCCTAGAACCGATTGCGCGGCGGGATGGCCGGTCTCGGCTGCGGCAGCGATCTCTGCGGCGCCGTCCTCAATGAGGGCGGGGTTACCGGACATGAGCTTGTCGACGGCGGAGTAGTAGGCAGCGTCGGGTTCCGAGAGAGGCTGGGGTTCTCCGGAGGGGGGCTCGAAGATGGGGCGCCATGAACCAGGGTCGAGGTCCTCCTCGGATTTGTGGGCGTCTCCATCGCCGAGCTCGTCCCATTCGGCAGAGGAATCGGGTTCGGCGCCAGGGTCGTCCTTGAAGTCTTCCTGAGATAGCACGAGCACGAATTGGCGTGCGGCGACGGAGCGAGAGAGAGTGAGGAGAGAGAGAGAGAGCGCGAGAGAGAGGAAAAACCACTTGGGGCGAGACATGCTTCTTGCCGCGGTGCTGTACGGACGAGGATTGCAATCACGCACAGTTTTTGGGACTAAATGGGAAGGAAACGCAGTTGCAGGGGTATTCTTGCAATTATAATCTTCAACTTCTCTTGCCACGTTTATTGATGTACCTCTCTCCACTAAGAAATTGCCACGTCAAAATTCCTCAACTCATCTTTGACAAACTTTGACTTTCTTTTTAGGCCTTAGTCTGCATTACTCGTTTTAAGTGAAGCATTTGCTTCATTAATTTTAATTAAATATATAATTTAATTTTATAATTTTAAGTATCAAGAGAATACTATTTTTATGTGTTTGGATTGGTAAATTTTAATAGAGTAAATTGTTTTTTTAGAAAATTTAAAATATTCTATGGTAAACTAGTTGTTTGGATAAAAAAGTTTATAAGAAATTGAAACTTTAAAATTTTATTAAAATAATTAGATTAGATCATTTTAAATTACATCTAAGTATAAGAATTTGAAACTATTTATATTCTAGCATTTTGATCTTTGGATTTTCCTTTCAACTTAAATTTTAATTGTAGACGTCATAAATTTTATCAAGAACGATATATTCTCAACTGTTGATTTACATTTTTTTTATTGATGTTAATCAGTGTTATTCTGTTATATAATTTATTAGAAGTTCTGTATTAGTTGAAGTTTTTTCAATTAATGTCGAGAGATTATTTTTCTGTTAATGTGAATTAAATATTTTTCAATCAATGTTGTCATGATTATCTTTTTGTTGATTGCTTATTTTTTTCATCAGCATAAATGTTACTTTTTTGTCAATAAACTATAATATATTTGTTTTACTATTGATTACATATTTGATTAACATTAATTAGTTTTTTTTTATCAATAGAGAACATTTTCCAATTTACAGTGATACAAAAATCGTACAAATAATCTTGGTTACTCTTAATTTAAGTAATTATATTCGATATTAACCAAAAATAATATTATGAGAAAAGTTTTGCAAATATCAATTAAAAAAATATTGACAAACCTTAACTAAAAAATAATATAGATGAAATGAAAAAAATAAATTATTTTCACATTTTGTAATGTTTAGTAATTATTTAATATTTAACTAATTTGTTTATTTTGTGATAATTGAAATATTTCATTCCAATAAAAAAATCTAAATTTATTAAATTTGAATTGTATTATTCAAATAAAACATCTAAAAACAATGAAAAAATTTAAAATTATATCTATTCAAATTCAACATATTTAAATGTTTTGAATTTGTAACTGTGAAATCATTTATCCAAAAATAAGTTAAATGTCTCCTTCTTCAAAACATGACTTCAATAATTTATAATTTGCAAGGGTGGAGTCATCTACTGGAAGAATCTGTGAGGTCTGGGGCAGGCTCTTTCTTCTTCACCCAATTCTTTCATATTCTTCTTCAATCTTCCATCTTCAATCTTCAACCTTGAAGCTCATTCTCATGTCTTCTCTCCTAGGTAAGCCTCCCACGATTCAGTGTTCTTAAAGTCAAAACGATGCTGTTTTTGGCTCTTTTGGACTCAAAACTCTGACAGATGATTGCAGGGAACACTTATTGGAAGTGGATGCAAATGCCAAACCCAAATTCCAGATAAAAAATCTCACCAGAGTTTCCGATGGTGGGGTTTCAATCCTCAAAGGCATCAACCTTGACATCCCAAAGGGTGTCATCGTCGGGGTCATAGGCCCCAGCGGCAGCGGCAAGTCAACGCTCTTAAGAGCCTTGAACCGCCTCTGGGAACCGCCCTCCGCCTCCGTCCTCCTCGACGGCCAAGACATCTCCCATCTCGACGTTCTCTCCCTCCGCCGGAAAGTTGGCATGCTCTTTCAACTCCCCGCCCTCTTTCAAGGTCACAACCTCTCTTCCTTTCAACTTCCCAAATTAATCACTAAATTCATTTGCTAGTTTACTGATTCTTTTTGTGTTGAAAGAAAGATTAGTTTCTTGTGGTTGATTTAAGTTTAACCTTCTGATAATGTTGGAGGGTATCTGTTCTACAGGCACAGCTGCTGACAACGTGAGGTATGGACCAGGGCTTAGAGGGAAAAAGCTAACTGATGATGAGGTGCGCAAGTTACTGGCGATGGCGGACTTAGACGCTTCTTTCATGGATAAGTCCGGGGATGAACTCTCTGTGGGTCAAGCACAAAGGGTTGCACTTGCTAGGACTTTGGCTAATTCACCGGAGGTAACATAAAACTATTTTTTTGCCTTTTAACTTTATTTTCTGTCTGTATTTCTGCTTGTGAATGTGATGTTCGTTTTATTTGGTATCTTTTGAATTGAAGGTTTTGTTGTTAGATGAGCCTACTAGTGCGTTAGATCCTATATCGACAGAAAACATAGAGGATGCCCTGATGAAGCTGAACAAGAACAGGGGCATGACAGTGATCATGGTTTCTCATAGCATCAAACAGATCCAGAGGATCGCAGACATAGTGTGCCTGCTTGTTGATGGTGAAATTGTTGAAGTTCTGAAGCCTGATAAACTCTCTGAGGCCAAGCATCCCATGGCACGAAGGTTTCTTGAACTCAGTTCTTAGGGGTCCTAATCTAAGCTAAGAGTTCGTAAAATTCTGTCTCGACTTGTTTGGATTTGAATTTTAGTCTGTTCTTGAAGCCACGATGAATGTACTTGCTGATTGTTGACCTGTTCTCCATTTTAAATCATTGAACCAATCATCTGTGATTATTTATTTCTATACGTTGCTTTCAAGGCTGCTTCATGACATTCTGGGCTGACATAGGATTGTGATAGTGGAAGTTTGGTTACAATATGATGTTTTGCAAAATGCTTCTAAATACGAATTTTGTTCTTTAAGATTACCATTGCGTCATTGTTTCTGTTTTTTATATATTTTTTTTCAATATGCTATTCAACCAGATTTCGTGCAGAAAGTTTGAGTCCCACCCACTAATCCCACTTGAAAAGTTACAATAAGATAAGGCCTTGAACAGTGAATTCTTCGGTATCCTAATATTTTCAATCATCAAATTATCCGATCAGAAATTTCAACGTTGAACAAATGAAAAACTGAAATGACCTTAAGAGTGAAACATGAGGTGTCCAATCCTTCTCACAGAAACAATCTCCAACCAATTTGAATAAAGGAAACCTTTTTATTGCACTGTTAAGAAATAGTGTAGTTTTTGTTGCTTAACGTGAATGAGTTGTGTCGTGTTAACGTGATTTTGGCAGGGGAGACAGAACAGACGAGCATAGTCGGAATGATAGATGTGTTTTACAGGGCATGTGGGTGTGGTTGTTTCATTTCCAAATTTGAATTTTTACCAGTTGTTGCAGTTCAATGCCGAAAGATACATGTCTTGTCGTTTGGATTGACGTCGACTGTTCAACAATAACCATATAAACTTTCAATTATTGCGTTCGGATTTATAATGTTTCAGATTTAGTATCTCATACCAATGTTTTATTCTGTCTCTGATTGAGTTTAAACCATGAATCTAAAAGTTGTGGAACAGAGAGAGAGAGAGGTGAAAGGTGTGAAACGGATAAGGATAAAATGATTTATAATGTTCATCCGACATCCAAATTTCCAATTTCAATAATTAAGTTAATAAAATGATTTATTTCTAACCTATATGATTCTCAATCAATTATTAATATCAGTTAATGTTTAATTACATCTAGAAAATGATCACGAACTAGATTTCTAAAAGCTTAATTATTTACAAGTTTTTAACTTTAAAACAAATAAAACACAAATTATAAAGAATTTCAAAGTTAGAAGAATAAAAAATTTTGAACAGGCAAACAAAAAGGAATATGAAAATCAAAGAAATTATAAAGCAAGAATGAATCCAAAATCTAATCCAATGGATGTGCCTCCTATATTAATGTCGGCCATACATGCAATGATTTGATTTTGAAGCATGTAAAAATATAGTCAAATTTGAAACACTGATAGCAATTACAAGACAGAAAGTCAATTTATTATACAGACAGGAAGGGAAGTAAAAAAAAAAACAGAAATAAATTGTACTAATTTGAGAACTTTGAATCTGTAATTTGGGTAAATCGAAATTACAGAGCATAGCGTTTGACGTGCATGAAGCAGGTGGGTAGCAATCTCTCAGAAGCCATCATTCATTGGTAGTACTCACAAACAGTAATCACTCAACTTAGTATTAAGTTGTATTGTAGTAACCATATTCTCATCTCAAACTAGCGTTTACAGGAACACTCAACAATGCTAGATCCAGCCACTGAACTGCTGCCACCACCATCTTCACCCACCAATTCATCCATTTCCTCCTCTGATCTTGACACCGAGGTAATACTTTTACCCTCAACAAAATCAAACCCAACTCTCGTAATTCCTAAAGTTTTGTTTTTTGCACTTATTGGTTTCATCTTATTTCTGGGTTTTCGATTTCACAGTCTACGGGATCCTTCTTCCATGACAGAAGCACCACACTGGGCACTCTTATGGGTGTCAGCTTCCCGGCTATTACCTTCAGAGCCTCCGACAGCCATCCACATTCAACCATCTCCGCTGCCGCCGCCGTGGCTGGCCCCCAGAGGGCTGCAGAGTCTAAGAAGAAGAAGGCCATCGTGGCTGCGGAGCGGCGGCGGAAGTGGTGGTGGCTGTGCAGGGATGGCGACGCGAGGCCGGCTTCTCTCGGTGAGTTTCTTGAGGTGGAACGGCGTTGCGGCGATGGCGCGTTTTTTGGTACGGCGGCGGAACTTGAAGGAATGGTGATGGATTCGCCAAGGAACCACGGCCGGGCTTTGTTTTCCGACGGGAGGGTTCTTCCTCCGTCGAGCGTTGACGAAGGAGCATCGACGGCGGGAAGTATTTGCAGTAGATTTCCAGTTTTGCTTACCGGGATCTGCAGCGGCGGCGCCGGATAAGATTGAGTTTGAATTTTGATTTTTTTTCCTTTTTTCTAATAAACTGAAGAGAGAAATAAAAAATGGATGATAATTTTTTTCTATAATTATTTGTTATTATTACAATGCCTGATTTACATGCAGACTTTTACTTTTCACTCATAATAGCCACTTTTTGTCTGAGATTATATAGCTTTGTGTGGTGTGATATGCTGATAATGCAAGGCAAAATAAATTTAAATTGGTTTATTATTAATAATATTATTATTTAAACATAGGGGGGTCGATGTTATATATTATTATTCATAAAGTTCATTTATTCAAAGAATCAAGCAATAAAATAATATGGACTAATTTGCTTTTTGTCGATGAATGTTTTCAAAGAAAGGTGACTGTGCAGTCTTTATTCAAAAGGGGCCACGTGGTTTTCGAATTGGAAGTTTGAAATGGATTACTTCTTTCTTTTTTTCATATTCGAAATTTAAAATTCAAGCAAAAGACACACTAGTAGTTTTCAAGATATGTGATAATTTTTCTTAAAAAATTATAATTCCTTTTCAAAATAATTACAATTTTAAAAGTATATCAACCAAAAATAGCTTCATAATAAATAAATGCTAAAAAAAAAGGATTGAAAGTGATAAATTTGGCCCTAAATAATTGCACTGGAAAGAGACACGATCCATTACTTTCAAATCTCAGCGGACTTTATTCTTTTATCCATTTTACTTCTTTAATAGCTTGAATTAAAATTCACGTTTAAATAAATTACAAAGTTAACTCCTATTGATTTTATCGATTTGCTTAACTAATTTTTATTAATTAAGACCCTGAATAAAATGTAAAGAGAATAACGCACTATCTCCCCTACCTTATCATATACGTTTTCAATCTTATTACGCTTCAATGGCTCAATGATAATTATTTTATACATTTTAAAATAGTTTAATAAAATCAATTATAAAATAAAGTATCAAAAGTAGTTTTTTACTTTCTATATTATTACTAACAAAACTAAAAGACAACTATGAAGATTTTACAAACATTTTATATGGAATAAAAATATAATTTGTTTTGAATTCAAAGTTTTTTCACTATTCTTTGAAAGACATATAAAAAATGCATTTAAATTTAAATTGTTTCTTAGTTTAATTTTTAAACAATATGAAATTGTTTAATATATTAAAAGAACAAAAAGCTTTTCAATCCTAGAAGACAAAAAAAAACTAAGAAAAGAAAATACTAACCCTTGAGTTAAAAATAAAGAACAAAAAAACTTCAACCTTCTACATTACATATTTTTTGAATAAAAATACTACTATATCTTTTAAATTTAATTAATCCTTTCTTTTAACCATATCTTTAAGAGGCAGATGAGTTAT